TGTCATTGTTTGCATTCTCCCTGGCTAGAAAAGCTCATATCTTAAGCTTAGTGCACCTTTCGGGCATCAAGTGCTTCATGTTTTGCTTTTTACTTGTTTAACAGATGCCATTCTTGGCATTCCTGGCATTCTTCATCCCAAGGGTGTTATTGAGTGGAGTGTTGTGGAAAGGTGAATTGAGCTACTGTTGTACCACCAATTTCTATGTGATGGAGGTGGGGAATTCTCTTGGAGCAGTTGTGATAGGCAGTATCCTCAAGGATACTCCCAGTGGGCAATGATCCACTGTTCCAGGTCAGGCATGTATTGGAGATGAAAGTTTATCACCTCAGGTACCAAGGTGTGGTCTATGAGTGTGTAATCAATGGTATTATTCCCTCAACTTTTCTGACATGTATACCACCCCACATGGTAATGTACCATTGAGGGTAATCGAGTCGTGTGTAGAGCATGCCTCAATGAGTTGTTTTCCTCCATCTCATCCTGGCATGTGAAGTGTGGCACAAGGTTTCCCTCTTCGTCTCAGAGTGTAACTTGTGAACTCCCAGTGCGGGCATTCATATCCCTGAGGATCACCACTTTGGCATTATGTCTCCAGTCAGGAAGCTTGGTCATGAGAGGGACATAAGGCTCTGGCTGCTGACGGATCCAACTGGGAGGAAAATAACATAAGATCTGACATCCTTTTGGGCTGAAGCCCCAACCTTAACGTTATGTAGTGGCCATCTGGATCTATTTCCAGAAGCTGTGCATAGACTGCAATGCCTCTGGATCCTCTGTGTTGTCTGGGTTGTAATGACTCCTAGGCCAAGAAGAGAGCAAACTTTGGCAGGTGAGCCTCCTCATGCTTCCCAGGTTTCACCAAATGCTGCAACATCATACACGGGCCATCTCATGAGTACTTTGGGCCTTCCGGCCCTGTAGATTCCAATAGCCGAGATGGATTGTGTGTGGCTGGGCATACTGCAGAATGGTTAGAAATAGAAAAGTTACCAGAATGAGGGGTACATATGTAATTAATTTCAATCCAATTTTCAGCTGTTAACTAAACATCATGAACAGAAATCTATCCCATGGTGTTAAAGTTTGGCATTTGAGATAGCCTGTGAAACTTAGCCTTAGAGTGGGGTATTGCTTTCTCTTTGTTAAGAGGCTAACACTGTCATTGCTGGTGTTAGAGCTGCTTGTGAGGCCTGAGTTGGATGCAGATGAGCCTAGTCAAACTCCTTTAGATGCTGCTGGATTATGGTATCCTGAGAGGATTCCTAGCCCTCTGATTCTATTAGCCTATCTGATTGTATTAATTGATCATTTGGAAGGAGATGTAGCTTGTCTTCTGTTGACGTTACACCTTTTGTCTTTGTTTTTCTTTTGCAAGGCATGCTTTGGACTTTCACCACCTTTTGAATGAGCTGGAGTGTGGCTTGTTGACTGAGAGTTTTGTTGATCATATGTTGGCTGTGCATGAATCCAGGATGAGATAGTAACATTGGTAAGTAATTTGCATGAGCTAGTCCATATTGAGGAAGTGTTATAAGTACCATCTAGTTCTGTTGGGGAGGGGCCTTGTTTTTCCGCAGTTCTGGGAATTGGAGCTGGTGAAAAGGCTTGGATGGTGGTGTTAATGGCCCTGACATTGGTGTTTTTGGGAACCAAGCTTCAGATGCCATCAGCTGCTCTTGAAGGTGTTGGTTTTCCATAAAAGCAATCAAAATATAATTTTGTACATTATAATATTAGAATGGGGCTATCAATACAATAATTATGAGGGCTGGTCACACATCCAAGTATATTATAGTATCTTGGTTGTATTTTGGTGATGGTTCTCAAGAACAAGAGCACACTTGGTCAACTCTGATGTTTCTGGCTAAGATCTAGAAGACCTTGGATTTTGGACGGTGGTTACCAGGACTATACTAGGATAAAGTAGTAGGACGCGTTTCTGAACTCCTCTCTCAGTGAGGATCATCATCATTATCATATTGCTGCTAACGCCACTGGTGCTGGGAATTCATCCTATTACCTCGCACCTTCAACTTCTTAAATAGCTTGTTTGAGAATGAAGATTGTGCCATGAAAAGGTAAGAACTCTTCAACTTCTAGTACTTATGAATCATCACCTACAATCAATTCAAGACATAAAATATGCTTCACGTAAGAGTGACTTGCTATGCATAGATTTAGAACAAATACTAAAAATATGACATCCTGAGTCTTTTAAATTCAAGTGGAAAAACGTTTTTATCCTTACAAAGGTAAGTTCATTAATTCTTTAATTTTGATTTAATGATCAATCTCTAGTTATTTGTTAATACATTAGAGTTATGCCTAGGATTTCCATCAAAGGTAAGCAAGAGTAAAGATTAATTTCAAAGCAAACATCTTTTAGTAAGAAAATAAATAAACAAACCAAACAAATTATTTACACTAAAAATTTAGCGAATAAACTTTAATTATAAACAAATTTAAGATTTAAATCAGAATATACCTTGATATTCTTGGTATATTCGTTACACCTAAACGTGATCGAGCGATGCATAGATCGAACGGCTGCGATGCGTCCATTTCATCTGAAGTTAAATTTTCTTTCTTATATTTTTTATTTTGTTTGTAGGTCGTAGTAGCGAGGAAATGCCGCGGAAGGCGAAGCGCATTAGGAATGCCTAGTCGGGTCTGTGATCGCGTCACGGCGCGGGAGCTCCAGATTTCCAGCAGCCGATCGCGAGGATTCTCATTCCAGCGCTCATCGATCGATCGCTTCTAGGCTTCCGCCATATCGAGGTGAGATTGGAGGTTTCCCTGTTTGCCACTGTGATCTAAATGTGGCGGACTGTTCATGGATTGCCAGGGTTTTAGATTTTGGGACGAGCTCTCCACAATGAAGTGGTTTGATAAGATTTTCAAGCCATTGCACCAGAAGGTTCATGAAATCTCCCATAATTCGTCCTCCGAGGTACTTGTGCTTCTTTCCTTCGTGTAAGAAACAAGAATTCTAGACAAAGTATGCGTGTTCTAGGCGGACGAGGAGCTGGATCGAGCCATAGCTTTGTCACTCAGCGATCACTATGGTAAATGTTTAGATTGAAGTTTTTTGGTTTCACTGGTGACGAGGTTTTTGCCTTTCCAGACGACAAGCCTGCGGCAAGAGACAAAGGCGCCACAGACAACGACGAGGCATTGGCGAGAGCTTTGCAGGAAAGTTTCATCAGTGAAGGCCCCTCTGGCTTCTCCTCTGGCTTCTCTTCTGGCTTCCCATTCGGTGGCGATGGACGAACACGCAGGTAGCTTTCTGTGTTACAAATCTTTGCGAGGGTCTCTTCGTCTAAATGCCTCGCAGGTTTTCTGGAGCTCATGTGTGCGCACGATGTAAAAAGACCATCGGACCTGGACGTTTTCTAAGCTGCATGGGAGGTTTGTGGCATCCGGAATGCTTTAGATGCACGTCGTGCAACAAACCGATTTCGGGTTCTGAGGTATGGTCTTGGTTTTACGTTGTTGGTTTCTCGGATTGTATAAGCAGGTGATCTTTTATGCAGTTCTCGGTGTCTGGAAACGATCCTTATCACAAAGATTGCTACAAGGAACTGTTTCATCCTCGGTGTGATGTCTGCAACTTATTTGTAAGGGCGTCTCGACAAAGTATCTTGTTCGTGCATTTATGTTGGTTTTTGTTCTTCAGATACCGCCAAATTATTCTGGCCTGATAGAGTATAGAGTTCATCCTTTTTGGGGGCAACGATACTGTCCTTCACATGAAGATGACAACACGCCCCGTTGTTGTAGCTGCGAGCGTTTGGAGGTAAGCAAACATGAATCGATCTGCGTTGTTCTCACTTTGCGATGTTTTCTTGAAGACGAAAAACAACAAGTACGTAGTTCTAGACGATGGTCGAAAGCTGTGTTTGGAATGCATGGATTCTGCCGTTATGGACACAAACGAAGGGCAGCCTCTGTACCAGGAGATTATCAACTTCTACGAGGGCATGAACATGAAGATAACTCAACAGATACCGATGCTTCTTGTTGAAAGGCAAGCACTCAATGAGGCTCGTGCACACGAAAGTAATGTTAGTAGATTCTCGGCTTTCTTTCCTTTGCTTTAGTTCTTTCTCTCCTTTTGCTAAGAAAATTTGTGTTCTTGTAGGGACATCACCTCACCGAGACTCGCGGATTGACTCTATCCGAAGAGCAAACTGTTACCTCTGTAAGTGGAAGTTTTGCTAGAGCTAGACTCATGAAATGCTTGCAGGTGTTTAGAAGACCGAGGAGCCGGGGGTTTTTTGGAGAGATGAGAACGGAGTCGATGAAGCTCAGAAGAAACTGTGAGGTGACTGCCATTCTGGTGCTGTATGGACTCCCCAGGTAAGCAAAAACAATATTGTTTTTGCTACACAAACCATATCGATGTCTAAAAGTTTCCTCCGATCGACAATTAGATTGCTGACAGGATCCATTCTCGCGCACGAACTAATGCACGCATGGCTCCGACTGAACGGTAAAGTTCTTCGCAAGCTCAAAGTTTGCAAAACTCACTCAAAGCTTGTGGAAACGTTCCAGGATACCCGAGCCATTTGAATCCGGTGGTGGAAGAAGGCATTTGCCAGGTGATGGCGCACACTTGGCTGGAGTCGCAGATTGGATCGTCGAGCAGCTCCTCTCACGGCGCTGCCAAGCCGGCGCCACACCAATTCGACACGAGCAAGCTGCGCGAGTTTGTGATGCACCAGATCGCAATGGACCCTTCCCCGGCCTACGGCGATGGCTTCCGGATCGGGCAGAGCGCCGTCGTCCAGTTTGGACTTCCCAGAACTTTGGATCATATCAAGCTCACGGGCGACTTCCCCGTATCGTGAGACTATGATCCGCCGACGTGGCTCGTACGGCTCGCCACGTCTATAACCACGCGGACATCACTTTATTGGTGTGTGCTTGCGTGGCAGATCTTTTCTTGCCAACGCGGACACCACTTTGTAAAACCCCTTAGCGTGTCACTTCTCTGTTCTTAGGGTTTATCGTGGCCATGGCGAATGTGGCTTCTTGCTCGGCGTTCTCGGCGCCTCCCGCGCGAATGGGGGATCTCTCGATGCCGATGGTTGCAGTAAGGGCTAGAGCGGGGAGTCAGATTGGAAATGCGCGGTGTCAAATGGTGGGATTTAGAGCGAAGAGAGCGGTGAGCATTCCCTATCGGGGGCTTGGATTCCCAGCGCAGGATTACGTCAAGGAGGTGGATCGCATCGTCCGAGTGGCGTTCCCGGACAGCTCGAGGATTGAATTTGTGGGCAACAGCACCTGGCGCTCGCGACTCCGGCCCGTCACTTTCTTTAGCGTGTCGGCAACACCAGTCTGCTACCTCAGGTAAGATTTCCCGGACGCTACCTTTGAGAGAGCCTTGTAGCTCTTCTAGCTCGCTTGGAATGTTTCTCTTTGTTTCTCCGAGCTAGATAAGTGACAAGGAAACTGTGAGTGACAAAGGAAACTTACTTGAGTGTCGATCTAGAAGAGCTCGCAGTGTTTCTAGCTAGTGATCTATGATCGTCTCGATGACGTAGAGGGAGTTTGGACAGCTCTTCGTGATCCATTCTAGAGAACTTTGTTTTGTTTCGACTTGTCTTTCCTGTAGAAGTGCTAACTTCGCCATCTTTTTTACGTTTGCGTTTCTCGCAGGGTGTTCTACCGGGAATCAACCAAGACTTTGGTGCTGGAATCGGACAAGCTGGTGCTCGAATTCATCGGACTGCCACCCGGCATGAACGACGACATAAATCTACAGTTTTCGCTCGGGGGTGATCTTGGTGCGCAGTCGTCCATCGCAAGCAACGCGAGCAATGCTGCCGGTCGCTTCCACGGCTCCGTTTCGCTGGGGCTCGACTGTGACTTGCCGTTGCCTTTCTCACTCATGCCCGAGGCCATCGTTCTTCCTGTAGGCGACGGGATACTGGACCAAATACTTGGCGCCATGGAGTTTGCGTTGCTCGACGGGCTCCTCGCTGACTACAAGCAGTGGTGTCGAGCAAAGATGGCCCGGGAAATCCAGGAAAGGGAATCAGCGGCAACGACGTTTCCAGCAGCGGCATCGTGAGTCGAGAGTTTTGCTTGGCCACGGACTTGCAATCGAGGCAAGAAAGAAATTAAGATTTTGGTTCTTTTGTCTGCTAACTTTTCTTGTGCGGTGCAGTGTATAGTAATTAATCCGCGCGGAAGCAGCCAGAGAGTAGCTCGCTCGAGCTTTGTCTTGTTGTTCTTGGAAGTTCTTGCGAGTTTAGCGGGCAGCGACGAAGTCCACCGCACTATACAGGTACCATTTTTCTTTCGACTTTTGTACCTTATCGTGAACATACACTCTCACACAACGCATGTAGGTAAGACGAAAATTCGATCAAGCTCCTCGAATTCTTCGCCAGAGGTTCTCTCTTTTCTCCTTTCTTCGTGGTTGGAAGGAATTCTCTCTTTCATTCTTTTTCTTCTTCGAGGACTAACCGCCGGTTGAATGCAAGTAGGCTATCCGATCGTCGAGAATCGAGAGCTTTCCTGGGATGGCTATATATTTCTTACGAGCGGATACGATACTGATACAGGAGATATACTCTTCAAACTTTTACCGTTATGGTGAAAGTAAAGTCCCTTCCCCCCAACGAACACAAAACTTATGGACTCTAAAAGTTTTAAGACGCGATTCAACGCTAGCTAGCTAGCAGCAGCAGCTCCCGAACGATCGACCAAGGGTCATTAAAGCGCGCGCGCGAGAAAAAAGAAGAGTTTTTTTTATAGAGTTTTTCTCGCGACGCAGTAGCGATGGAGGTGAAGAGCACGTCGAGCGTGCATGGTGGCCGGTTGGATCAGCCATTGGATCTTCTCATTTGTTTACGATCCGAGGGACAGCACTTTGCAAAAGGAGAAGAGCTCACGCGTTTCTTGCCGAGCGCTGTGTGTAAGAGCCAGAACAATCAAAACGATGAGATACAAGCTTTTTGTAAGAACCAAATCTTCCATTCACGAATTCGAGTACATATTATAAGTCAGTCGATCGATCGACCGCAAAACACTGTCACGCAAGGAAAGAGAGGAGAGAGGGAGAAGAGAAAACGTTGGTGTTCTTCGCGTCAATTATGTGATGAGAGAAAGTAGAAAGATGGCGATCGAGACTTGCCTGAGATCCCGCGAAAAGAAAAGTTTTTAGCGAAGCCTCCCTCGAGCTAAATCTTCGCCATGGAATCTTTTTCCTTCCTCCCAGCACTGTGTATGAAGCTATGGAAAAACTTACATGTAGTAGCAGTGTGTCACGTAAATCCTTTCACCCCGAGGCTTTGGAGAATTCCTGGCACACTTTGCGACGATGACGACGACGACGTTCCTGGAAGGAGGAATCGAAAAGTTTGTGCGTTAGAAACTTTGCGCCAACAAAAGTGAGATCCACAAACCTTGGAGAGGAGGAAGGCATCATCTCGAAACAAAGTGCGAGGATCCCGGAAAACATGACTGCTGCTGCCGCTGCTGCTGGAATCCTGGTTTTTAATCCTGTTGTTCTTTGTAGTTGCTTTCTTTTTTTCTTTTTTTTTTCCTGTTGGTAGCTGGGCTCAGTAGATAGCACACGGATCGTGGATCTGTTCCGGGAGACAATTCACCGAGCGGCAATCCCCGAGAGTCTGGCCATAGTCCCCGATTTGGCAGGCACCCGGCATGTTGTTCCACGAGCAGCACGAACTCAGTTCCCAAGATGCTGGAACTTCATGACTGGTCTCGGTAAACGAGCCATGAACCTCCTGGTGATGCTGATGCTGATGCTGTTGATGGTGGCCGTCGTGACGGTGAAGATGAGAGACTTGACTCTCCTGCTGCTCCGGCTGCTGCTGCTGCCCCGTAAAACTCCCCAGGAAATCCGATGGAGCGATGTGATGGTAGACTCCTGTTCCCGGATCCATGAAGCTGCCGCTGCTGCTGTTGTCGTTGCTCTTCCCGGGGCCACTTGAATGATCGCCTTGCAAGCTGTTGTGCTGCTGGAGACTGCTGACTGCTGCAATTGCTGCCTGCTCGTCCATGTTGTACATGTCTGCTTGATGAGGAGGCGACGGCCCAAGTTGGTACCACTCGGCGCTGGCGGTGGCCGCATCAACGCTTACGAGACCGGCAGCGGCAGCTCCACCATCACTGGCTGCAGCGGGGTGATCATCGGCACGGCCATACTCTTGAATCAGAGTGGAAATTGCTTCCCCGTGGCCAGGAGTGTAATGAGTGTGCTGCTGGGACGGCAAGCCGTGCTGCGGTGTTGCGTCGTCGTGTGGCTTCACAGCATTCTCTGAAGGAGGCCACAAGCATTTGTTAGCTCAGAGAGAAGCAAGTAAAGCCAAAGCTCCACAAACTTACGCATTTGTTGCTGGAGGTTGAAGAAGTGGTGCATCGCTTGTGCCGGAAATGGCTGCTGCTGCTGCTGCGGAGGCTGGCCGCTTTGCTCGGCCTTGAGCTTGTTGTATGCCTCCAGCAAACTTAAGCTCAAGCTCTCGCAGCCATGATGCTGCTGCTGCTGCTGCTGCTGCTGCTGTGAGGTGGTACTGACTTTGAAACGATTTGGACTGCTATTGATCACAGAGCCAGGCGTAGTGATGGCCGAGTCCGCCGACTCCGTGGACAATTGGCTTGAAGGGAGCTCCAGCTTCAGGCCTTGGTCATGGTGATCCACCACTGGCATCACCAGAGGAAGAGGCCTGGAGCACGAAGTATTGATGGTGTTGATAAAAGAAGACCCATCGTGACCATGAGCAGCTCCTCCGCCGCCGTGATCCATCTCGTTGGCGGCGTTGGAGGCCGAGGTTCCGGTGAGGTAGAAGCCATGGTGCTGGCGTCCAGCGCTGCTGCCAACGTGATAAACTTCGCCCTCGTGATCTTGTTGCAAGAAGAGCGAGCTGCCGCTGAGATGGTGTGGAAGGTTGTGGTGCTCGAATCCCGGGTGTGCACTCGACCAGCCCAGTGCTTCGCAATGCTCGGTGGCGGCGGAGCTTGACGAGGATGCTGCTGCTGCCGCGATGAGCGCCGCGGTGAGAGCTCGAGGATGGCTCGAGCCCATTCCTTGCTGCTGCAAAGCTTGCAAGGTGAGGCCATGGAATTCGGACCTTGGCTTGTCGGAATTCTCCACGAGTTTGCTTCCCAAGAGGTTGAATCCTCCATAGAACGAGCTTGGAACGGTGTTGGAAGCGTTAATGTGGTTGGTCGATGAGTTGGAGCTGTTGATGGCAGCTTGGATGTCTGGAGGATAGACCGGGAGCCCTGCTCGCTGCCGACGCTTGATCCGGGTGTTCCAGTAATTCTTGATCTCGTTGTCAGTGCGTCCTGGCAACTGGAAGTAGCCAAGAACAAAAAATTAAGACAAGAAAAAACTCTTATTTTTCCAAACAAAACTGGAGAAGATAGAGCTCGAGGATGGAAGGCACGAAGAAGAACAAGAACATCGCAGCTAGAAATTTACACTGCGAGAAGATCTCAGCGAACGCAAGCAACGCAATGAAGTGAAAGAAATACTCCACACAGCCAGGAATTCCTCGGGCAAAGAACACGCCATGAGCATCGGTATTTCAAGAAAGATTTCTTGGCGAGCGAGGAAGCGATCGATCAAGAAGCCAGGGATTGTGGAAGATCGCTCACCTGAGTGGCCATGCGAGCCCATTTGTTGCCGAGCTTGGCGTGGAGCTCGATGATGAGCCGCTCCTCCTCGGGCGTGAAGGCGCCTTTCTTGAGATTGGGCCGGAGGTGATTCGCCCAGCGCAGCCGGCAGCTCTTGCCGCAGCGATACAGCCCCGACTGCTTCTGGACGTTGTTCCAGTTCCCCTCGCCGTGCTTCTGGACGTAGGCGACGAGAATCGAGTCCTCGGCCGACGTCCACGGTCCCTTCTTGAGCGCCGCCGTCGCGGCCGAGCACGGCGCTCCCCCGTCGGAGTGATCCTCACTGCCGCTCTCCATTTCCCTGGCGCCGATCGATCGATCGGTGTGCGCGCTACTGCTGCTGCCGATCGATGCCGCCACTGCCGCTCGAGACGATCAAGAGAATCGCGCACATTGCTACTCTAGAATGCCCGGCGCCCCGAAATTTAGGTCAGCTAGAGCGCATCATAATTGAGAGAAAGAAGAAGTAGCGAAGAGAGAAGGAAGAAGAACTAATAAGAAGCTTCTTTCTTTCCACTGTTTCATTCGCTCATGTGCTATGCTATTCATGTGTATACATCCACATGTATGTGCCATGGCCTGTCCGTGCATTGCCGTATCAGACCATTTCTCCACATGGCCCAAACCAATCATGGCCCTCCCCCCCTGGCCTGTCTTATACTACATTCCCTCTGGCGACATAATTCCAGCATTTTTGGGACCGGACAAAAAAAATTGGCCTTTCTTCCGCCACTCACCACACCCTTGGCTAATTAACCATTCCGTTATTAGGCATTTAAGCTCACCACCACAGGACATTTAAAATTTTGGCCGGGGGCGCGCCAAATCGATTGGGGCTGACGTGTGTGGCGCCATATAGGTGTGTACGGCCTTCCTAGTATGCAAATATGCCCCGGGAAAGCGACAGGGATGCAGGGGCCAAATCTGTCCGTACGCGCCGAGGAATGGAAAAGCTTTGTCCCCAGGTTTGTACCGTACTGTGATGATGCAGATGCATGCCACATTGCCACCTAATCTGGATGTGGTGGCAATTTTTACCTCTAAGTACTACCACCGGGTAAAAAAACAGTGCTAACCCATAGGCCCATTTCTTCCCATGGGCTGGTACACGGTATTCACAGTCCAATGTGACAATGATGCTCCACCATAATCATGTACGGTCGGTACGGCCACACCTGTGGCCCAGGCGCGGGAGGGGTACGGTAAACAATGGCCGTATGCAGCTGGATTGGGCCATATTGTCATTTTTTGTCAAGATCATACCATGAAGAGTGTTTGTATACGCTGCTTTCGTCGTGGTCCTGTGCGTTCTTTTCAGCAAATGTGGGGGTGGCGGGGGAGGGGGGAATATGCGTAATTCCAACCAGTGGCATATTCTAACCTTGTAGAATTGTAGGTAAAGGTCTCCCAGGAATGTTGACATCAGGGCATTGAATTGAGGCCTCAACATCAGTAAAACCCTTTTTTTTTGGCTTTCGCTTTTTTCGCTCTCTCCTTTCTTTTGGCTTGGCTGGCCAGCTGCCCGCATTGTTGTACCAGTGGGTGGTGTGAAATCCCCTAAGCTTTTACAACGCAGCTAAACTCTTTCGGGGACAAAGAAAAGGAATCGAGGAATCAAATCGAGGTTAAGAGCTGGTGTGTGGGGGAAGAACAAAAAGGCCTGGATGCCTCTGTTCAAACGTGCCTAAGGCGACATGCTATCAAGCTCGGGATATGTGGGATGTTAACAGCGCAACAACGACTGCGACGACACGTTAACAGCCAGAGAAAAACAGGGATAAAATGTAAAAAAATAATGCCAATTTATTACTCAAGGTAACTTTCTCCACACAAGGGGAGGAGCCGGAGGGAAATACCTTCGTAATTGGACACCTGCAACATCGACGCGCTGTCGCTGTCGCTGTCGCATTTTCAGGCCTTCCTAAAAGCAACGAAAGAACACTGGGAGCCGCCCTGCCGCAGGACACGTGGCGCGAGCGGGTAGGCTGGGGTGAAGAGGGGGAGGGGTGGTAAAAAGTCAACCCGGATATTCCCGGCCTGGTTACTTCTTACCAGGCTCGCTGATCATGCATGCATTGTGGGATGAATCTGTTGATCTGTTTATACTGTGTTTGTTATGGTTGATGATTCGTTTGTTTTGACGTAGAGAAACTAAAAGCAGAGACCAATGTCGTGTTGAATGAGAGACCATCATTAGCTTTGAACGGAGAAAAAGGTGGCAGATTAACGTGTTGACCTAATTCGCTCATGAGAAAAAGAAGAAAAGGTGGTAGTTTGGCGTGTTGACGTGTTGACCTAGTTCGGACATGCCCCCATCGAGCACAGTTTCTCTCGAGGGAGGCCTCTCTTTCTTTTTCTTTTCTCTGTTCTTCATCTTCGCTTTCTCTCTTTCCTGCGCAAGAAGAAAAATTATAGAGTTTGATGACAAGCTGATTGATTGCTTGATAGAAACATACCCGGTTGTCTTCCCAGAGAGTGGCTGTCTGGGATAAACACAATCCGCCGGGAGAGAAAGAGAGAGAGAGAGAGAGCTCTTTCCTCCGCCGCGATTCCTTCGCTCTTTCATCACACCACTGCATACTCTACAGTAATCTGTCGCCCTGCGAGCATAGACCTGCATTGATGGGTATGAAAGATGACTTTAGCACCTGGTGTGTGTCGTCACATTCACACTATGCAATCAAAGGATGAATCATACCTGTGCAGGTGCCTTTTGGCAGACACGGCCTCTTGCACACTCGAGAAAGTTATCGTGAAAACGTCGCCGGTTTGATTCTTTCGGAAATCCTAGAGAAAGAGCAGAGAAAGAGTTTAATCCCGAGTTTACGCCAGCATGCTGGAACTGGAGAAGCGAAAAAAGAACTTACAAGAATCTTGCCTTGTTTTTCAAACGCGTCAGCGACAGTCGACATTGGCGTGTTCTCGAGCAAGCCACCGACTGTCAAGACCCTGGCGAAAACAACACTAAGTGATTGCAGGAAACGATACGCTAGCAGGAAAACAAGAACCTGCTTTTCTGGACGGGCCCGCCAAGATGGATTAAGTTTCCCGCGGGATCGCTTCCTTTGCTACACTTCTCCCTGTTGTCGCGTTCCAACCTTGCGTCAAAAGTGCTCGCTGTTCTTTTAGATCTTGACTCTGGCTCCCGGTCCCTATCGTTCCTCCGAGGCGAATCTTGTTCATGCTTTGTTGACGGAACACTTCTGCCAGGGTGCTTTCCATTCTCAACTTGTGCATTGGCTGTGCTCGGACGCGGTTGGACCCTCCCGGAACCAAGAGCCAACGCCTCATTCCTAGGAGGTCTTGCGAAACCAAATGCACCAGCACCACCGAGGATGCCTGGGCCGCGTCCCGTTGGAGGATAACACGATCGGGGGCCTTGGACTCCGAGAGGTCCCCCCATGAAGTTCATCCGAGAAGTTATGTCGGATCCCATAGGCTGCAACGGAGGCCGAAAATCATTAGGACCCATTAAAGGGTACATTGGTTGGCCAGGAGGAGGTCGGATACCAAGCCTTGCCAAATGCAGCATTTGCTGAGATCGGAGCATGTGTTCCTGGTTTAAGAGTTCTTGCAACTGGGCCTGGTGTAAGTACAAGAAGTAAGACAGATTTCAGCATGAAACTGAAACAAACTGGGCTTACCGGCGAGAAGATTTCTAAACCGGCAGTACATGCACGAACATGGTTCATGTCGGGTCTTCCCGGACCCATGATTCCGGGAGAATAATTGGGGCGGTAAAACGGGGGTCCTGCAAGGACAATATCAACACGAGCTGGAAACACCAAAATATAGTACCTCGGATCCTAGAATCGGGAAAGTCTCCAACGCGATCGTATCGTCTGTCACTATTTCCAAACGAGATAAGTTAACAGCGGACAAATCAAAACTGCAGTTTCTTACCCCCCATGGGGCCGATCATATCTTCCCGTATATCTCTCGTGAGGTTGCTTTCGGCTCCGGGGGCTGCTGTACTGGTGCCTTTCGTAGTCATGTTCCCGTCGTCGTTTCCTGTCTTGCCGGGAGCCCGTGTTTCTCTCTGCCTCACGATCTGATAAGGCTCGCTGTTTCCCGCATTGGCAAGCCCACACATATAAGTTCTAGCTCGAAGGCTCTAGCTCTATCTATTCTACCCCATTAGTTGCTGCAGTCAGCACTAGATAAAACACTATGACTACTACTGCGCAGGCAAAAACAAGGAAACCAAAAAAATATACCATGGTCTCGTTGGAGTGTTGCTTCCTTGAAAGTTTACCATCCTTCACCACGCCGTGTTCAGCTTGCTTCTTGCTATTCACCTTGAAAATGTAAACCAAACTCCAACTTTGTGAAACTCGACTCTCAAGATAAAACACTATATAGCTGGATGCTAGAGAGGACCTTTCGAGCATCATTCGAGCGAGTTCTTCATGAATAGTTGGAAAGGAAAAAAGAACAAAAAGAAAAGAAAACGATGTAAAGCGTACGTAAAAAAAAGGAAGAGAAAAATGAGAAAAGAAAAAAGGAAAAGCGGGAGATGTTAATGCAGGGAAGGAGGCGCCGCTAGAAGACTCTTCAAGAAGCAATGCCGACGAAGCTAAGATAGAGACTGAACTGGAGAAAAAAAGATTAAACCAAAAGGACTAGTAGCTATGAAATAAAGGCGAATAAGAATGATCACCATGGGAGCCATGTCGAAGAACTCGCCGTCCTCCAGATCAGTCTTTGAAGAATGCCTAGTACTCCTGGACTCTGGCATTCTTCTCCCTCTTTCGATAGCACGATCCGGCTCTCTCTGCGGTTCTACGGACCCCGATATTTCGAGAGAATCCATGCCCATGGCCTGCCCTTCCACCGGATCTGCTGCATCGTCCTGCCCCATACTGGCATCCTCCCCAACTACACGATAATCTACATCCTCCTCCTCGCCGGCTCCTTCATCGGATCCAAATTCGTAGTCCGAGCCATCGAAATCTAGCAGCTCTTCGATCTCTGCCTCCGCCATTCGACCAGGCGATGCAGTCGGCAGAGGAATCGATGCTGATCGCGGCACAAACCCTAAGATGGAGTAGCGTAGAATGCAGCCAGCGCTCAGCCTCAGAGGATCTGGTGAGAATGGAGCATCAGCGCAGCGGCGATGAGATCATCCCCAATCCTCCCGCCGAGCATCTCTTCCCTACCTGGCGGCGCGGCTTCGCTGGGAATCCAAATAAACCAAAACCTATGTTGATTACACATAGCACTTGGCGTAATGTCCGTGCTGATGGACGGTTGAGCTTACTCTTCCTCAGAATCGCTCACCGTTCCTCCATCCGTACACGTACTTTCTTCTTCTTCGTCTGTGTGTCCTCCGTCCAAGCTCTCGGAGTTTTCACGCTGAGATGAACAGTAGATTGTTTTGCAATTGAGAGAAGAAAGGCCGAAAAAGCTCACCTTCGCATACGAATCGATCGAAGCCGGAGATCTCTCGGAGTTTTCAAGCTGAAAAACAGCGTCAGGATTGTTTTGAATCGAGAAAAAATGGAAGTAATCTACCATGGCATTAGAATCGATCGATCCCTTTCGTCCCTGGGAGTGTAACACCATGTAAAGCATACGCAAGAGAGGTTAAATGCCTACCGTGACTTTGGACCTCGTTGAAACACGAGAGCGGTGTTTGCATTTTGTGCTGGAGTCGTCTCCATTCATGCTACCACCAGAACTTTCACGCTGTGGAAAAATTTCCAAGTGACTTCATATAAAAAAATCTATGTCGGTCAGCTGAAACTTACCGAGTTAGTCGAAACATGAGACCGGTGTTCGCTTCCACTGCTGTAATCGTCTCCATCCACGCTCCCAGGCTGAGCAAAAATTGCAAGACGAGGTTCCAGAATTTTCGCAGAGAGAGAGTACCTTGACGCTTGAGGCAACAGGAGTCCTCGGGCAAACTTCCTCGTCTTCTCCCGACGTGCTTCCGTTTGAGCTCACAGTGCTAGATGCCTGCTCTTCATCGTTTTTGGAAGCTCCATTCGACTCACACCGTATACCGTTGTCTGCGACGTGCTGGGCTTCCATCGCTGCAACCTCCTCTTCTCTCTTTTGTTCGTGGCATGCAGTTATCTTGAGCTCAAACTCTTCCAGGAGCTGTCGGTAATCCTGCTTAGCCAGCTTCTTAGCCTACATATCAAAATCATGAACGAAAATATTAGAACTTGACTCGTAACTCGTTGTTCCTACCTTGCTGCATATGGTTTTGAAAGAATCCAGGACCTGCTCGTCAACCAAAGCATTGGCAAACTGTTTAAACAAGTCGATCAACCTCTTCATTGCCTTGTCAGTAAAAGTCAGCTGAGAAAGGCAGTAAGCAATCGCTTGCCACTGTGCTCGATCTAAAACAGAGCTTTATCACGTAAAGTGCAGTTACGATTTCAAGCTTACCAGATGTTCCAACGAATCTGTTGCACAGCTTCTCAATTAAACCTTCAATTTGCCGATCCTGACAAAGTTAAAATTGAGATTATGACACTGGTGGTGGAATTTGATTTGTTACCTTCTTTATGAAGTCTAAGAGGAACTGCATGATATTACGAAAGGTATCTCCACTGATGTTAGTAGAGCTTGACAAACGGCTAAGGATATCCGGGAGAAAATTGTAAATTGGACTTGTCCCTGCAACATGAATTAGTAGCTGCTATACTGTTCAGACAAGAGCTACCTCGTTTTGATAGCTCGCTGAAGAAAAGTTTTGCAAGCTCTGAAATTCGACTGTTCTCATCCTGAGTTCTGATAGCCATTTCGCTAATATGTCCCTTGACCTGTAAGTGACGATCGATGTAAATACCGAACAGCTGCCTCTACCACGAACAAACCTTCATCATATCATTTAAAACCAGGTGAGAGATGACGAGCACAGCATTCTTGCGCACGTAGTCGGATCTGTCGTGCAGCCGGGCGTATATATTTTCCGTCCATGGTTCCAGTAAGTTTGGAAACCGAAATGCAATATCTCCAAGAGAAATAATACAGTTCGAGCGAATCGCATCCTCAGGGGAATTTTGAGCAAGAGTAAATAACAATTGCAGGTTTGCGTCACTGGAACGTTCTTCTCCTTTATGATAAATGGAAAGAATCGAACAAATGCTTACCAATAGTTGGAATCTACTGCCATAAGTTTACACAGACATAGAACTACTGATGACCGGAGCTGAGGAAACTGTGGAAGGAAATAGCGTATCAGAAAGAAAGAAACAAAAAATATCGTACCTTTTGCAAAACAGTGGAGTTCTTACAAAGCTTGGAAACCAGAGGAGAAATGCTACCAATAAGGAGCTTTCTAGTTTCTGAGCCAGAGACGATTTCACGTTCCGCCTTTTCCAGAAGATAATCAAGCTTGACGTCTTCTGCAGCAGCGACTCCCAGTTCTGCATTAATGCCTTCGTCCTAGAAAAGGTGGTCAGTTAGATCAAGAAAAAGAGAAGGAAAGATACCTTGGAAGATGAAACTCCATCTTCTGCCGCATTAGCATCAACAGCTGCTGCTTCTCTTTCTCTGTCACATTTTTGTTTTCGTATGGCTCTGACGCATGTCTCGATGTAAACCAGATGCTTTAGCGCGACGTGCCCCGTGGCAAACAGAAACCTGCTTAATATGCTCGAGTCCAGTCCTTCATCGGTTTTTTGAAGAGCAGCATCTAAGAACTTCAGCATTAGAGCTGACATAAACGCCTCTGGAACGGGATGAATGACATATATCGCGCTTATAGCCTGTTCTGCCGCCGAGTACCAGATCTCATCGGGTAGAAGTTGATCGGAGATTAAGCTGGCAAGTATGCTGAAAACTTTGTGGCCAGGTTGAAGCTGCTGCTTGTCCTCGATCGTGAGGCGTTGAAGGGCGAGACAGGCGAATCGTGCCAGTAAACTTTCTTGCTTGGCCCATCGTCCAAAACCAATGTCCACCACGTTCTGTATACGAGAGCTAAACACCTTTGGAGATGCTTTCGCTATCATACAGAGCAAGGACAAAGCACATCGGCATTGCTCCGGTGTTACACCAACAGAGTTGAACGTAAAAATATCCCATAACGCTGGCTCCTGTGTACGAAACAAAGTAAAAACAAACGAAGAGGAACTTGAACAGAAAAATACCGTGCCAGCAGGAATTTCCCTCTTTTTCACGAGACTAATCAAAAGAGCCTCGATGGACGTCAGATGCCCGACTGGGGCTTCAAGAACTAGCTGGAGGAGATTAGAGGCAGTCTCTTGCGGACTTTTCTTTATATACGTCACGACAAAGGCACCCTCCACAGCTTCATATATGCTCCTTTCCTGAGAGAAAACCTGACCAAAGTAGCAATAGCAATTCAGTTGAGGTACTACTACAAGTAAGCTTCTTACCAGAGGCAGCATCTTCCGCATACATTCTTCCGCTCCATCAATGCTGAACTTATGGCACTTTGTAAGAAACTGAATACTTTGCTGAACGTCAAAAATCGCGGAAGACGAGAAGAGTTGAGATATAACTGGTATAGTTGACGCCATCGTTCTAGAAAAATGCAACGCAGACTCCAGCGAGGCCACGAGCGCTCTGGTTTGCTCAAGACTTCCAATATCGCAGCGCTTTTGCGTCTCAGGGGGACCTTGCGACTCAAATATAGCGCTGTCTTGCGTCTCGTTATCGTTGACAGCCTCCTCTTGTGGCTTAAACCTTGCAGTTTCCGTTTCCGTTTCCGTTTCCCCGGAAGTTCCATTTCCTTGAGTCATCTTCTCCAACTGTAGCTTGTAAATCTCGAGAGTCGCTTCAAAACGGCCAGTCTTGAGCATAGGCCCAAACGGATTGTACTCCAGTAAAGTTGTGAGGAGTTGAAGAGCGTTTTTCCTCACAAGAACTGCTTTATCATGTAGACGACCAGCGGCAATGTCCACAACCTGATTCCAGAGGCTGATTGATAGGGAGTTCTGCTCGCACAGGTAACCCCATGTCTGCAGCACACAAGCCCGCGTAAAAGCATTCGTGTCACGGGTTCGTTCTATTAGAACGTCGAGCATGGCCTGTTTGTTCCGGAGCCTGATATCTTCGCTTAAGTTGCTGTCATTGTCTCCGAAAGCCTTCACCACAAGCCTTCCCAGCACCGTAACAAGAGCGTTCCTTATTTTGTACGACTCCCCTCCAAAGTGCGGCATAAGAACGCTGAGGTTGGCAGCCAACACTTTGGGTAACCTGTCCGCCAGTTCCACGAGGAAAAGTTTCACATTGTCTGCTACTGTAGGCAACCGGTTATACTCTGCTTGGCCTGTCATGCCGACTTCCCTCAGAATCCCCACTGCCAAAGTGTTGTCGCCGTATGATTTATCCGAGACAGTCACCAGATCTGCTAACGGGATCGGGACATGTTCGCATTTGTGTAGCAAGTCGATCAAGGAAGGCAAGAGTTGCTCGTGGTAATCATACTTGACAGCACACGTTGCTAGAAACTTGCAAACTTCGTCTTTTGCTTCTTTGTCCTTCATGACGGTTGGATTTTCGAGTAGCTTCAGCCCGAACCTGAGAAGGAAATATCAATCAAGTGCGTAGAAAGCTGTAGAAATAAGGCTTACTTTGCAAGGAAGTTAAGAAGCCCATTCTCAGGCCGTGCCATGCCATAGAGAAGTTGTAAGTCCGCCTCCAAAACACGCGTGACTGATGATACTATCCGAGCTCGAAAGTCTTCCCACTTCCAAGACAAAGTTGGATTTTTCTTACGAGGCTGCTTGCTCTAGAACACATAAAAGGCAAAAAGGATAGAACCAGGGATAAAAGAAAGAAATGTTCTACCTTAGTCGATGCTTTAGTCTTCTGCGAGTCTGAGCAAGGCGCCTCCTCGAGAGTATAGATTTGTTGAAGAAAAAACGAGTATAGTTTGAGAGCGTTTTGCTGGGAGTGGATTTGCTGACACAAAAATGCTGGATCACTCTCCGCATCTTCACGCTTCAACGACGCGATGCTTGCGATAAGGAGTGTAAAATTCGAGCAAAGGCTTTCGATAATCAGTCTCTTTGTTGAGGGCTGCAAAGAGGGGAAATTCCTGCAAATCGAGCCCGGATCAAGGCGCATTCTTTCCGGAAAGATCTTACTTGACAATGGCAAACAGCTGATCGAAAATCGCTTGCTCCTCAATGCAGGTGACCTCATTGTCACCGAGCTGGAACGCGACCTCTACGAGACAACCGTGATCAAGATACCCTAGCGATGGACACACCAAAATCTCACCTTTGGCGAGCTCCTCGCCATCGGCCGTCGAGAAATCGCGCTGGACGACGAGAAAATCTTCCTCACCGCAATCTTTCTCGAGCTCCTCAAGGCCGCCGCTCTGTGGGATCACGAAACATGGCGCCATAGCTTCCCCAAGGCGGGAAATATGAAAAAACCTGATAAAAATCCGACCTTTACGTTGAAAATACTGGAATGAAAGCTCTCGCTCACTAGACATGGTGGCCTATTAGCTCAGTTGGTTAGAGCGTCGTGCTAATAACGCGAAGGTCGCAGGTTCGAGACCTGCATAGGCCAGAGTTTTTACTTTTGCTCACTTGGCTTTATCGTTCTCACGTTCCAATTTATAGGGTTTTTCATTCTTACTCTGATTTCCAGCAAGAAATCACGAGCGCTTTCTTTTATCGCAGGCGCATCGCAAAATTTCTAGCGATTTCCTAGCATATTTCATCGATTTCATCGGCGTCCCGAGCGCTTCCCCTTCTCACAGGCGCTGCGCAAGAAATGCCGGAAGGTAAGCACTGCCAAATCTCTCTCGAACGCGTTCTTGAATCGGATCTTGCAGGCTTCCATGCCGCCGTTGTCGATCAGCTGGCAAATTTGCAGATTCTCCTCGGATATTTTGATGCCGGCCCTCGGGGAGGTGAATGCGATCTTGATCTCCATCCTTTTCAAGTAGTAGCGCTTCCACTCCACCATGCAATGCGGCCTTCTAATCACCAGGTAGCTCTTCTTGCTCCCTTCTTCTTCCCTTAGCTGCAAAACCTTGAATTTGGCCTCGCCAGCTCCCCATATCATCTTTAGCGCCCGCTTCATAGTGTCACTATAGGAAACCCATCGACTGTTCGTGGTTTCTCTGCCGGAAACTTCGATCTTTTCGTTCATATCCACGCAAGTGAGTGAGATTGCCTTGTTGAAGTCGTCGGCTGTTAGATCATACTCCAGTGTCCCAGAGTTCAACTCCGTCACAAGAAATGGCCGCAACCGCTCTATAGTTCCATCTTTGTGCTGACGGATCCACTGGTAGAGCCTGTTACCCACATTGTCTACGTTTCCAACAGCAATGAGCTTGCCACCAATTACTGCGTCTCCCGTTATGTCGAGCTTGAGTCCAATTTGAGCCCTGGAGTCCAGAAGCATCCGTCGGTAGTCTATGTCGCTTGTAGGTGGAAACTCCATTCTAAGTTGAGCTGATTGCAGGAGTTCCACGATTTGATGGAAGTCAGGAGGCTGCGAACTCAGGCATTTCTCTATTACAGCCTTGATTCCCGTGCAATCGTGAGAGAGTTGCGGTAGTTTTCCAGAGAGCAGTATTTCTTCCCCGATGGTTTGCCCGGTGATCATTCCTACGCAGGCTATACCAAAGTTGTACGCATCGGTCTTCCTGAAGTCCGCCACTGGTGCATGGGGGAAGTGGAACGGATACTTCAACCTTCCAGGCAAGGTACTCAAGCTCTTTTGTCCATCTCGTTTTCTGAAGTTGGACCGAGCTGAAACTTTGATAGTGATGCCACCGGTGAATTCGTCGAAGTGGCCTTTCTCAAATTCCACCAGCAGCGTATTCAAGTCCGAGAGCTCACAGTTATGTTCGTGCAAGTAGGCCACGCCTTGAGCAACTTGAAGCAGGATCTCGATGGTCAATACAAGAGGGAACTTTGTCACTCGGAAGTGGCCTCCAGAGACCCGCTCGGTCACCACGAACAGGTTTTTCCCGTGCCTTGTGTAGCCGAAAACTTGCGTTACATTTGGATGGGGCCTGTTTCTAAGTTCTGCGTGCCCTTTGTCAAGCTCCTTCAGGAGCTTTTCAGCTTCATTTCCTGTTCCAAGGGCTTTTACCATCACAGGTACGTCTAGCCATCTTCCTCTAAACATCGTCCCATGGTTTGACATTCCTACAAAATCGAGCAGTACGATTTCCTCTGGACTGATGCACGGAAAAACTGAATCAGCAGCTGACTTTTGAACTAAATATTTTGCCAACTTAACTGTCGCCTCGTCCGATGCATCGAGTAAGCCTTTAATGCTTTCTGCCAGTCTCTTTTTATCATCTTCCACATATTGCTCAGGAACAGCAGGGAACGTCATTATGTTATCACTGTGGTTACCAGGGTTTATGGCTCTCAGTGTGGTTTCACATCTGTTGATATCGTCAAGAGCTTTTCTGAATGCCCACGGGTTATGCTCGTTCAGCACTGCCATATGCAACCACCTATCTTCACTGTAAGACTCTATCAGCGACAACGCAGTTCTCAAGGTAGTCACCAGTTTTATCTGAACGGCAAACCATGAGCGAAGTCCCAGCTTAGTCGGAAATTCCCGGTAGCTGAAAATCTGCTTGCACCTCGACTGCAAGAAGTGGCACTGGTGAAAATTTGTGAACGGAGCAGCAACAGAGATCTGGCAGATCATATCTCCCGCAGCGAGTGTCAGCTCTTCGGCAGCTTTGCAACTAGACATATCACTGCCTGTGAAGCTGGATTCGAGGTTGTACCCACCAAGCAACCTTTCCTTTAGCGACCACAGCATCCTGGATATCTGTTCGAAGGTTGGTCTATCTTTCGGATTCCTGTTCCAGCACCTGTTGAGGAGAACAACCAGCTCCAGTGGACAGCCTGTTGGAAGGTCAGGCCTATTTCCATCTTCGATCGCCTCGACCAGTTTATCTGCCACCAGCTGCTTGCCATCGTCCTGAAATGGCAGCGTTCCAGTCAGGATCTGGAAGCAAGTAATTCCGAAGCTGTATACGTCAACTTCTCTGGAGTACTTCTGGCCCCTCAGCATCTCTGGAGCCATGTATTGGATCGTCCCCCTTTGGTAAGACAAGTCCGGTGCAAAGCTTATAAAGTTCGACTTTGAGACTCCGAAGTCTGTTAACCTCGCGTCGAAACAAGTGGTGCAGGCATGGTTCTTTAATGTCTTAACTAGGACATTCGAAGGCTTGAGGTCTCGATGAACCACATTCCTTTGATGGAGGTAGCTCATGCCGCTTGCGATCTGGAGCATAATGTCTACAGAAGTTAAAAGTTGCAGCGAGCCTTCAGCCTTCCTTATGACACTGGTCAGGTCCCTTTCCATCAGCTCCATGACAAGGTAAGCCTTCTCATCCTTCTGATAGTATCCTATCATCTGAAGCACGCTCGGGTGCGGTTCTAAAATAAGTTCTTTCAGGATGTTCACCTCCTTGTCGAATGAAGCATCACCGCTTCTAAACTCTTTCACAGCAACTGGTGCCCCCAGCCATTCAGCCTTGTACACAGAACCAAATGCACCCGAACCTATCAAAGTTTTCAGTTCGAGGGCCTGAATGGTGGCAACGGCTCCTCCTCTGCTTGACATCAGCTTGTTAACAAGGTACTGTGCCAGAACATACCTGTTGTCAGTTTCTGTGATGGAATTTGCTCTCATGAAGAGCTCCTTTCTATCTCTTGATGTGCAGGGACTCAGGTCCTCCATCGCTGAACGCAGGTTCTCTATGTGCTTGCGCTTGTAAGGCATGGCCATGAGGTACTGCACACCCGGGCTCCCAATATCCGTGGCGCAATGCATCATGTGAGCATTGACCAAGGCCGTCAATCTACCCAGACACAAGCAGATCTCCGCAAAGGCTCTGGAATCAGTGAGCCGGACTGCAGCATGGTATAGCCATGTCTCGTCTTGGCACTGCTTGAGAAGCTGCAAGGCTCTGTTCAGCATACAACCGAGCTCCTGTATGGCCAGGGGAAGTGGCTTAAGTTCGGAGCAGCTCTGCCAAAGCCGCACGTATTCTTCGACCACCGAGCATTGGCTTCGCAGGTACTTGCACTGATGGGTGTTGAAGTGGAAATTATACTTACTGGTTTTGTTGATTTCGTGCAGCGGTCCGTCCAGCAGTTCCTGCGCCATTTCCATCTCCACCGAGTCAATTAACCTTGTCAAGAACAAGTCACAGAGATTTATGTCAGTGTGGGATACGGCTCGGCTCGCTGACGTGAGTGCCATCGGTCGTTTATTATTTTTGTGGAGTTCATACTCCTGCTATTTCTTTTATTTTATTTTTCTCCCCTAACGAGTGTTTTACGTTTTTTATCCAGGCTCCCAAATGTGTTTTCATGTGCTATGGTATTGGTGGTGTCGATTGGAGCCATGAACCTACAAGTGAAAAAATATCGGAACTTCTCATCATGTCTTTTGGTACAAAATGCGCTTTGATCGTTTCCTCTCTTTGATATATCCAGGGACGACGGACTGGTCGTTACGTTGGTCTTAATGGGCTAGATCCGGTAAGTTTGTCAGGAAATCTACTTTGTTTTTCCTTGGGCAATTGTGTGTGCTTTTGCTTGCAGGCCACGAAATCAACAAACCCGAGAGCCTTGTTCTAAGTAATGGCTATGCTTCGCAGCCATACAGCCAGTACTCCCCCCAGCTCCGTTTTACGCCGATGGTCAGCTCTATGGACAGTTCGCTTTTCGTTTTCCTGCTCCGGTGTACCACGGTCAGTATCACTTCGTAGAGGCACCTGGATCCCTTGAAGAATGATGGATCAACAGGTGCTATTGTGACGGAGAATGTGCAACGACCGGTTGCAGTGACGGGGCCTTACATTGTTTACCAGTCACCAACAAGATGACATTCCATTGTTTAATGTACGCCTGGAATCCTCCAAGCTGAAGAAATCCCGGCCGGAGTTGCAAGAGGGGGCGCTTCCTCGCTCAACAAGGTGCTGGCAGCCATAGCAGCACTCCTGGTGGTATCGCCTCGGCCTTACAGTCTGGCGCTGGAATCTCTAAGGCAGGGCAGGCTCGTGGAAGGCAGGCTCGTCTATCGCCAGACCTCGGGGTGGACAAGATGGCCTCCACTCATGAACCATTTCCAGGTGAGTGAGCTCTCTCGCAGCTCTTCTTAAGCTCTGGAAAAGTGATCACAAAGTTTCTAGTGATGGTTTTCCAGGAGGTTGCGTTAAACCACGTCTGGATGTCCAGGCTTGCTGGAGATGGATTTGGAGCAACGCATGCAATGATCCGGCACCATGGGTGGTGTCGGGAGTGCATGTCCAATGCTTCATGGTATGCTCACTTTCTTCTTTTGATTTCTTTTTCTGTCCCAAACTTTGTGACGATCTTTGTGGATCTTTGTAGGGGCGATGCGCTGAGATAG